CCCGTGTCCCCTGCATCGGCAGGCGGACTCCCAACCACTGCGCCACCAGGGAAGCCCCGATTAGCTTTTTTAAATAATTTTTTTACTGTGGTAAAATACACAAAGTGTAAAATTTACAATTTTAACCACTTTAAAGTGTGCAATTTAGTGACATTAAATACATTCACAGTGTCATGCAACCATGACACCATACATTTCCAGAACTTTTTCCTCATCCCAAATGGGCCAATCTCTGTGCCTGTTAAATATTAACTCCCCATTCCTCCTTTCCCCCATCCCTGGTAACTCTATTCCAGTTTCTGTCTCTATGAATTTGCCTACTCTAGGTACTTCATGTAAGTAGAATTGTATAATATTTGTCCTTTTGTGTTTGGCTTATTTTAGCATAATGTCCTAAAGTATCATCCATATTGCATGAGGTGTGAGAATTTTATTCCTTTTTGCGGCTGAGTATTCCATTGTGTGTATACATCACATTTTATCTGTTCATCTGTTTAATAGACACTTGGGTTGTTTACACCTTTTGGCTGTTTTGAATAATGCTGCTGTGAACATTGTTGTACAAGTGCTTGAGTCCCTGTTTTCATTCCTTTTGGGTATATACCTAGGAGTGGATGCTGAGTCATGTGGTAAGTCTCTGTTTAACTTTCTGAGGAACTGCCGAACATTTCCACAGCAACTGCACCAGGGTTCCAGTTTCTCCATGTCCTCGCCTACACTTGTTATTTTCCCTTTTTAAAAACTATGTAACAGTCATCCTAATGGATGTGAAGTGATATTTGTGATTAGTTTTTTAAAGTCTCCTATTAGTGATTTTTATCTTCTTGATCTTTTAAACAATTATGTAAAAATCCCATGATGGTGGAGTTGAAAATTTCTCCTTGTAGTTCTGTCAGTTTTTTCTTTATATTTGAGTTTATTTTATAAGTTACATCCAAATTTAAAATCGCAGTGAATTATTCTGGTAGACTTAAATTTGCAGTGAATTGAACCATTGAGCATTATATAATGACCCTGTGTTGTGCTTTTTGTCTTAATATTCTCTTGTCTGATATTAATATTCCTATGCTATCTTTCTTTTGGTTAGTATTTGCAAGGTGGATGCTTTTTTCCTTTACTTAATGTATCTTTCATGTTCTTCCTTTATACTTTAGCATTATGAAATAAACATTTCCATGCTAAACGATTTTAATTTTTAAAGTTTATAATACTCTTGATTTAATTACTGTGTCATAATTTGTGTAACCAGTCCACCATTTTCGAGTACTTTGATAGTCTTCATTTTTTTCTTTTGTTTGCTCTTGAATGAGATCATGTATATCTTGTGTATATAGCTTTTTGTTGTTGGATACTTTCTTTTTTTTTTTTTTTTGATACATTCATTTGGATGAACTCTTAGAATTATTGGATTTCTTGGGTATACACATGATTTTTTGGCCTTTGATACTGCCATATTGCTTTTCAAAGGAGTTGTACCTACTTACAATGTCACCAGCACTGTTAAATGTCTGCTAGACACCACTTATCATATGATACACCATAATTTCATGAATTTCTAAGAAAGAAAAAACTTTTTCAGTTAAACTGACACAGTGCTTATTTAGAATTTTTATTTCATGCCTATTAGAAGATACCTTTTAGGTGTGGGTATGCATAGGTTTTTATCATATCACTTCTGAATATATATAAAAAGGGAAAAAGCCAATTAAAATGGTTAAGGTGTTTCTAAAGCTTCACATTTAGTGTCCACTTCTATGTTACTTCTTGACTCAAAGTACTTTTAATATTTTTCTACACTGTACATCAAGAATGTTGGTGATAGCAGAAAACTTAATAACCTGATTTTAAAATGGGCTAAGGATTGGAATAGACATTTCTCCAAAGAAGAAATACAGATGGCCAACAGGTTTATGAGTAGATGTTCGATTATCTAATTATCAGGGAAATGCAAATCAGAACCACAGTGAGGTAACACCTTATGCCTGTTAGGATGACTGTTATCAAAAACCAAAAGACTAGGATTGGTGAGGATGTGGGGAAATTGGAACCCTTGTACATTTTTGGTGGGCATGCAAAATGGTGCAGCTGCTGTGGAAAACAGTATGGAATTTCCTCAAAAATTTTAAAAATAGAACTACTGTTATAATCCTGTTATCCTACTTCTGGGTATATATCCAAAGGAAATGAAAACAGGATATTAAAGAGATGTCTGCACTCAAATGTTCATCGCAGCACTTACTCATAATAGCTAAGCTGTGGAAACAACCTAAAAGTCCATCAGTGGAGGAATGGATAAAGAAAATATAGTATACACATACAATGGAGTATTATTCAGCCTTAGAAAAAGAGAACTGCAAAATGCCACAACATGGGTGGACCTTGGGGAGATTATGCTAAGTGAAATAAGCCCGTCACGAAGAAATAGTGCATGATTCCACTTAACGTGAGCTATATCTAAAGTAGATTCATTAGAAGCACAGAGTAGAATGGTGGTTGCCAGGGATGGGAAGTTGTTGATCACCAGGTATAAAGTTTCAGTTATGCAAAATGAACAAGTTCTAGCAATCTGCTATACAACACTGTGCCTGTAGCTAACAATGCCGTACTGTGCCCCTGAATTTAAGAGGGGAGACCTCATGTGTTCTTACCAGAATAAAAAATTAAAGAAATATATTGGTGAGGGAATTCCTTGGCGGTCCAGTGGTTAGGACTCGGCGCTTCCACCTTAGGTGGCGCAGGTTCAGTCCCTGGTTGGGAGAACCAAGATCCTGCAAGCCTGTGGCATGGCAAAAAATAAAATACTGGTGATGAAGTGCTTCTAGTGAGTGTCTGGTCAATAACAGTTACATGATGCTCTTGATTGTGCAGTGCATGTTGATTTCAGTTATATTGAAATGTGAAAGATTCCATCCTAGAATCCCTAAAATATGGTGATTTCACTATAATGTCATTGCGTATCATTATTTAATGTTTTTCCCTATCCCAGTGAGGTATGAAGTGTCATCCATATGAATTTTAACTTGCATTTTTATTAATGAAGTTGAATATTTTTCAGTATTTGTAGGAGTATTATTTTAGTAACTGTTAAGATCTTTAGTATTGAAACTAAAGGTTAGATGTTTCTGATTGTATTCAAGTTTACAGAGTTTTTCCTCAGACCGCTTAATGTGGATATTACTTGATTTTTTTTTTTTTTTTTAATGTAGTTTAAGAAATACTCTCTGGAACTGGCATTTATGACAGGTGTGAAGCTGTTATTCATGAACTTGTACGTTAGAATCACCAAGGAGCCTGTTGAAATGTAGCTTCTGGCCCTGTTGCAGAGTGATTTAGTGTGGAATGAGGTGCAGGAAACTATTCTTAACAAACTCCCCCAGGTGATTACCATGCTGTGGACCATGCTGAGAGGCTGTGGAAGGTTGAGGTGTAGTTACAGCTACAGATTTTCTGAGAACCTCTTTGGTAATACTGGCTGAAAAATTAGAGGAGTAGAATACATGACTAGAAGGCCATGGAAACTTGTTAATAAACTGCTTTTAATGTTAAGAAGTGAAGAATTTCAATTATTAAATGTGAAGGGTCCAGCATGTCTAGGTTTTTGAGAAGAATTACGTGGTAAGTCAGGATTGTTGAATGTCGCATATAGTTCCATCTTCTGTAACAATGTGAAAAAAGAAAAATGAGATTTTTGTTAAGGTAATTCTTTTACATTGGTAATTGCTTCATTTCAAGGTTTTCTCAGTACCTGTGATGTCTAGAGTAAACAGCTTAGGCTAAAACAAGGTTTGATTACTTAAGCAGAATGTAAGTTCCAGGAAGGAAATGGTACTCATTCTTCTATTTGTAGACTCTAAAACAGTGCTTGGTGCGTGGTGGGCATTCAGTAATATTTGAATGTATGAATATGCAGAACAGTTTATATATCAAGTACTCTTCAGGGAGTAGGAGTTTGCTTTGAATCACTTAAAATTGCCTATAGGAAGTTGTTGCAATGGATCTTATCAATACATAGACTTTTTATTAATCCTGCTATGGATTTTTTTTTTTTGCCCGGGGCCCGCGGCATGTGGGACCTTAATTCCCCAACCAAGGATGGAACCCCCCCCCCCCCCCCCCACTTAGTTCCCCCAGCAGGGATCGAACATGTGCCCGCTGCAGTGGAAGCTCGGGGTCTTAACCACTGGACCACCAGGGAAGTACCCCCTGCTATGGATTTTTAATTGAGGTTCATTTATTCTTGAGATTGTGGGAATAATCATTATATCATTTAGATTCTTATGTAAATTACCTTTTAAATTTATAATTGGTAGTATGAATAGAGCTCTTGAATTAAAAGCATTACTATTTTCCTTTTAGGAGTTAATGGAGCAGTTTCATCAAGTTGAATCTCAGCTAAATAAGCTAAATCATCTTCTTAGTGATATTCTTGCTGATGTGAAGACAAAAAGAAAAATTTTGGCATCTAATAAACTGCATCAAATGGAAAGAGAATTATATGTATACTTTTTAAAAGATGAAGATTATCTGAAAGATATTGTGGAGAATTTAGAAAACCGGTCAAAGATTAAGGCTGTTGGTCTTGAAGATTGAAAATGAAATCTTTACTGCACGTGCTGTGTTTTAATATTTTATATATTAGGAGGAGAATATAGCTAATAAACACTGAAAATTTTAAATTCGAGGTCAATGGAACATTTCATTTAATGAATTCAAGTATTATATCAATTTGGTTTATTATATGTTTGTTCAAAGTACCAGTGCTTTTTATGACTTGAACATTTGCTTGGTGGCACTTAGTCCTGGTAACTTTTAAGTTACAGGGAAAAAGCATTATTATATAATGCAGATAATTTTTACAGAGTTAATTGTATCTCATTTTTTTTCTTTTAGAGATAGAAATTTCTGCTGTTAAATATTTTAAAAATTTGTAAGACTTTGAATCAGCATTGTTAAAGCTGTACACCTTAATAAATGGAATGGTTAAGTCCCCTCATATTTGTCTATGAAGTAAAGTTCTGCCACTCAAACTGTATTCACCTATAATTCCCTGCTGTAGACTTCGAGACTTAAATTTTAATGTTCCTGCTTGTACCACAAAGAATGTCAAGTCTCCATTGGCCATTGCTCATTTTAGCGGTTGGGTCCTAGGGATTCAACATATCTGCAGGACAGATCTCAGCAGTGCTTTGACTTCAGTCTGACTTACATATAATGAATGTCTTTCAAAATGAAATTTCAGAATTCCATAGAAGTGGTTGCTTAGATGACGTATAACGCTAATCAGTTTCTTAGGAGTGAAAATACCTAAGTGTTGGATTCTATTGGTTGGGATACAAGTGTAGTATTTGGACAATTAGAAATTATTTTAAGAGTTGAGGTAAAATAATTTGAAGTGGCTTATTTATCAGTTATTACATCAAATGATTCTTGAGTGCCTAGTTTATATGTGACCTCTGTTACACACTAAGTAAGCTTTATGGAGGAAAGAGAAGATTTAGACACTACTTTCAAGAAATATTACTGCTCCAAAAATGTATTACCTGCTTGTAATGTGGAATGCCTGTCTAAAAACTTCACATTTTAGGTGATGTTTATGGAGTTTTTTAGCTATAACCATCAGAAAATGGGTATGCTTAGGTGACATATGGGCCTTGACAATTTTGACCAAATATGTTTTTCTGATTATTGTATTTGTACATTTTTCAAATTTTGTATTTGTTAAGTAGATCTTAATATGCTTGAAAAATTTGTAGCAATAAGTTTTGCCTAAGATTTTGTTATTATTATTTTGTTATTAACAAAGGTGACCTTTGTTTGTTCCTGTTTTTCCCTCTGCCCTACCTTGGAATTGAGCATTTACTTGAAATTTTTCTCCTCTCCAGTAATGTGGGAAAATGTCACCTGGTTTTCTGGTTCATGAAACAGCAAATTCTGTTTAGATTAGTGCCAGATACATTAGATGTATTACCAGCTACTCGATGATTTGTACTGTCCCTTCTAGACCTTCACCTGCTCAGCCCAGGGGACCAGTACAGCCCAGCAGTGCAAGTGAAAGGATGTTAGGTTATGCGTCTGTCATAATAACCCAAGTCAGTTAAAAATAATTTTTATGTTACTAGATCTGTATGTTCGAAGATTATAATAGCCATTTGGTTCAAACCTCAGGAAGTAGGAAATATTTGAGTAGATTGCTTGCTTCAAGATTGGGGATACATTCTTTACTTTGTTGTCTATTTACCATAATACCCAGTTGAGCCTCTAAATGGTTCACTTTCTTCTTACTATCCTATCTGTATTATGGGAACAATTAATACCTATTTCCTGTAGTGGTGAATATAGTAATTTTTATGAATGTCTCTACGTAAAAATTTTTACATGTTTCTTGTTTTGAAGTCTCAAAATTAATATATGGGTATTATGTTTATCTTATGTTTAGGATTTTATGAAAATGGAAAATTACGAGGCATTTGTAGGCTTTGACCTCTGTAAGATACCACTCTCCAGTGTTGCTCAGAAGATTATGTCTGCTATGCATTCAGGTGATTTAGTGGAGTCTAAGAATTGGACAGAGAGTGAAAAGAGTGAGTAATATTTATGAACCTTCATATTTTTTGTCACCTTGAGTCTTAATTATTCTTAAGACTAAGTTTTGAAAATCATTGACCTTAAAAATGAAAGAGTTATTTTACCAGCAAAAGTGGGTTTACTCGAGGACAGCAGAGAATTGCAATTTGGGACAAGCATGCTATACAAAGGCCAAAGGCAAGTCTAACAAAGGAGAGTAATGTTATTTTATAGAGAAAAAGGTGGATGTTGGCAGGGGTTGTTTTGAATCAAAGTCCACTGGAGAAAAGTGAGAGTTCAAAGTGCTAATGGTTTCCGGCTGAGTTGCTGGGGAAGTGGATTTCTTGTAGGAGATTCCCTGTACATCTTTTCCTTTGGGGACCTGTAATTGATGATTCTTTCCTGTTGATTCTTCCTCCTGCTGACTTTGAGTGGTACTGCATGAGAGCTCCCCCTTCTGGCCTGCCAACTCCATCTTAGTGAGGCTTCTCCTTACTTTCACAAAACGAAATGTAGCAGAGTTTTTCTATAGAACTTTTTATTGTGTAGGGA